CAGCAGTCAAGACATCAAACCACATACTGCATTAGGGAAATCTGTTGCAAAAGACCTCTTTCAAGTGATAAAGACCAAAGATGTTCCCTTGAAGACTAAGGTGCACCTAACCAAGCCATGGTATTTTTAATCACCTCTTATGCATGTGAGAGCTGGAAATAAGAATAAGAAAGACCCAAGAGAAGTTGATGCTTTTGAGTAGTGGCATTGGAGAAGAATTCTAAGAGTACCATGGACTGCTAAAAGGAAAAACATATCTGTCCTAGAAGAAGGGCAGCTGGAATGCTCCCTGGAAGTGAGAATGGCCAGACTTCATCTCATCTACTTTGGTCATGTAGTCAGAAGGAACCATTCCCTGGAGAAGGATATCATGTTTGGTAAAGTGAAGGGTCAACAAAAAAAGGGGAAGGCCCTCAACTAGATGGAGTAACACAGTGGCTTCAACGATAGGATCAGGTATAACAAGGATCGTGAGGTTGCCACAGGACCGGGCAGAGTTTCACTCTGCTGTGCACAGGGTTACTTTGAGTCAGAGATGACCCGATGCCACCTAACAACAACAACAATTTACAGGTAAAGAAACCAACTGAAATATATGAAGAGACAGAATTAGTACGTGCAAAGCAAAAACAGACCTAGACTGCATGATTCCAGATATAAAGCTCTTCTCCTAACTGCCTTCTAGGCATGGTAGTAACTCTAAAGGTCCAAGATTCATCCAGTTTAAGATCAGTTACCAAGATGCTGTTGGTTTACTTAGGTAGATAAATACCTAGTTTTAGACTTGTAGCAGCAACACAGTGTAAGGGCTGTGGAGAACTAGTTTGTATTGACAATCTCTAGTAGAAAAATATTTCACAATATCAAATGTTGGTTCTACCCAAAGCTACCTATACATTCTATGCAATCTCAGTCCACATCCCATGAACATTCTTTAAGGATATCGAAAAACCAACTTTATATGGAAAGGAAAGAGACTTTGGATAAGCAAACACTATTGAAGAAGAAGAACAAAGTAGGAGGTCTCACACACCCAGATCTCAAAACCTACTTACTATACAGCCACAATATTCAAAACTGCCTGGTACTGGTACAACAATAGATATGTAGACCAATGGAATAGAACTGAGAACCCAGAAACAGATCCAGTGACCGATGGTCAGCTGATCTTTGACAAAGTGCTGAAATTCATTAAACGGGGAAGAGACTATCTTTTTAACAAATGGTGCTGGAAAAACTAGATATCCATTTGCAGAAAAATAAAACAAGAACTGTACCTCACACCATACACAAAAATTAACTCCAATTGCATTAAAGACTTAAATGTGAAATCTAAAACTATAAAGCTCCTCAAGGAAAAACTGTTGTTGTTATGTGCCATCGAGTCAGACCCGACTCATAGTGACCCTTCCTTGGGTTTCTGAGGCAGTATCACTACGGAAGTAGATTACCCAACCTTCCTTCCAAGGAGTGGCTGGTGGGTTTGAACTATCAGCCTTTTGGTTAGCAGTCAAGTGCCTTAGGGACTACGCTACGAGAACTCCTCAAAGAAAAACTAGGGGCCCTAATATGTGGCATAAAGAGACTATCAAGCACAATCCAAAATGCACAAACAGCAGAAAAGAAACTAGATGAATGGGATCTTCTAAAAATTAAACTTTGATGTGCTTCCAAAGACTTATCCAAAAGAGTCAAAAGAGAACCTACAGATTGGTAGGTTGGAAAAAATATTTGGTAATGACATATCTGACAAAGGACTTGTCTCTAAAATTCACAAAAAACTCTAACATCTCAACAACAAAAAGACAAATAATCCAATTAAAACAGGGACAGAAGACATGAATAGACACTTCCCCAAAAAGGATATTCAGGTGGCCAGAAAATAATGAAGAAATGCTCATCATCATTAGCCATCAGAGAGATGCAAATCAAAACAACGAGATACCATCTCACCCCAGCGCTAATGGCAAAGTTCAATAAGACAGAAAATAACAAATGCTAGCAAGGATTTTGAGAGTCTGGGACTCTCATACACTGCTGGTGGGACTGTAAAATGATACAACCACTGTGGGAAGTAGTATGGCAATTCGTTAAAAAGCTGGAATTAGAAATACCATTTGATCCAGCAATCCCATTACTAGGGATATATCCTAAACAAGTGAGAGCCAGGACAAGAACAGATATATGCACACCCATGTTCATCACAGCACTATTTATAATAGCAAAAAGGAAACAACCTAGGTGCCCATGAACAGAAGAATGGATAACCAAACCATGGTACATACACACAATGGAATACTATGCAACCCTAAAGAATAACATAGAATCTGCAAAACACCACATAATGTGGATGAACTTGGAGAACATTATGCTGAGTAAAATAAGTCAATACCAGAAAGACAAATATTGTATTAGTCTGTTATTGTAAAAAGTCAAGGGAAGGTTTATATATGGAAGGAAACTTTCTTTGCTGGTTACCAGGGGTGGGAAGGAAGGGGAGGGAACACTGCTAGACAGGTAGAGACAAGTATTGATTTGGATGAAGGGAATGGCAATGTACCAAATGTGAGTGATCAACATGGTGGCACTGAGGAAGAGGAAGACCTAGAGAGGTGCATATAGACAACAAAGATGAACCTTTTTGCACATACAGCACTGCATTGTCAGTGAAGGCAAAAATTGATTTAGGGGTGGACAGACTGAATGATCAGATATGTCTATGCAGGGGGAGTGTGCCCATGACCATGTACAGGGTAGGCAGACATCGTTTCTATAAGTGTATTGGTATGTACTGTAAGAATTCCCAGCTCTGTAAGAGCTGACAAGGGACAAGGTTGTAGTCACCTCTTGGCCACAGCCAGCTAGCTACCCAGAGGGAGCGAGTAGTTGGACCTGTGCATCAGGACTAGAGTCGCAGGACATCAAGCTCAACTGGCATAACATACTACACAAAAAATTATTCTACATGCTACTTTGGTGAGTAGCGACTAGGGTCTTAAAAGCTTGCAACTGGCCATCTAGATGCAACAATCTAGATGGTCTCTCCTCATCCAGAGCAATGAAGAATGAAGAAAACCATAGATGCATGGAAAGAATTAGTCCAAGGGACTGGTACACCATGTGATCCTCTGCCTATGTGACTATGAGACCAGAAAAACTAGATGATGCCTGGCTACCACTGTCAATCACTTGGAGTGGGATCTATGTAGGAGATTGTGGATGGAGTGGGAAAACAATGTGGAAGAAAACTCAAAATCATAAAAAAAAAAAAAAAAAGGACCAGGTTTGCTGGTCTAATAGACTCTAGTAGAACCCCTGAGACTGTGGCCCTTACCTGTCCTTCAGGTCTGGAATTTGAACCCATTCTTGTGGCTTCCAGCCAAACAAAAGACAGGCATATGAGCTGAACATATACATTAGAGAGATACACTCTTTGGAGAGATCAATCATGGGAGAATAGAAGGGCTGTGTATGCACAGGGAGACAGCTTAGGGGGCAGGAGTGCATGGGAGGGAAGGATACAGGGAAGAGGTAACTATGGGGAGGAAGTGGGAAGAGAGCTGTTGCAATGTGGGAAATTGCAGTCAATGTCATGAGACAAAGTGTACATGAATTGCTGTATGGAGAATGAATTTGCTGTGTAAACTTTCAGTCAAATCACAATAAAAATGAAAAAAAAAGTTTTACAATATCCTGTAATAGCTCCTTTATTTTCACCTTTCATCTATTTGAAGCCTGTGTTGACATGTAGAAATTTTACTTCAAAAACTGTGGGGAAAGCCATCTTTTCTACATGTTTTTGGACCTGCGCAGGAGACTGATTTATCTGATTAGAGTTGGCTGTGGGGAAGAGGACCCAGTTTTACCTGAAGTAAGGTGGCTTTTTTTCTTGGCTCTAGAGAAATAGTCCTTGGAGCAATTTGGGTGTCTTGGCCTGATACTTCCAGGCCACATCTGAGAACTTGTGCTAGCAAGTGAGGGCTGTCCAGACCAGAAAAATGACACTTGGGTGGTTCATTTAAATTAATCTCAGGAGGTAATTTAGCATATTATATAAGACTGACCAATAAAGGTCTGGACCCTAAGGCTCATAGGTTGTGAGCATATTCTGTTGAGAACATTTGCTCTAAGGATATCATATTCCTTGGGACATGGAAGAACCATGTTAGGAATCCTCCCAAACCTTGCCCTATGCATCTCTCCTTTTGTAAATCTTGGCTGTAATAAATCTGCAGTCATAAATACTGCATATTCTCTGTGAATTCCCTAAGTTATTTCAGAGAATTATGGAGCCCAAAGAGGCTGTAGATGTCAGTTGGTCATAAAAGTAAGGGTGTTGCTTGCAACTGGCATAGTGAAGGGGCACTACCAAGTTGTAGCCAGCAGGTCTGAAGGTTGAGGTGTTGTATGACTCCCCAAACTTGTGGCTGGTGTTTGCCTATTTGGCAGTCTGAAGGGCACTGTCCTTTTAACTTGTAAGCTGTGACTTAGCTCTAGGTAGCTAGTGTCAGAGAGGGAGTACCATGGGGGCAGCTGGCAACAAGGATGGAGAGATGGAAATGTGAGGACTGGATCAATCTTCACATTGTGGGGATGAGACTCTGCTGATCTTTACCACACAGTTGCTAAAGGCCTTAACAGAGTTCAGTTCCCACAGGATAGTCATTTCATGCTTTTCCAAGATCCATGACTTCACTCAATGCCTGTTAAACTTTAAGGCAAGCTTGCCATTTGTTATAAAAGCTGGTTGCATCAGGTGAGAAAGTAGTAGCATAAACACATAATCACTATAGGGAATATTCTAAGTCTCTGTTCTCAAACTACTTCCCATGATTAGTAGCAGTAGCATCACTTTGTTAAAACTGCAAACTCTCCCACTTTAGACCTACTGAACCAGACAAGATCTCCAGGTCCTTTTGCTGCATGGCAAAGTTTGAAAACTTTTAAGCTGAAAAAGACTATTTTTAATTACAGTCAAGTTTGAAAATACAATTCCTTACCACATGCCCACATATCCACTGGTTTTCCATAAGGATCTTTACGCAAAACTTCTGGAGAAAGGTATCCAGGTGTGCCAGCAAAACCTAGGGGAAAAAGATGTTAAGAGTTAGAGCAGACTTCACAAAATTAATATGAAGTGTGACATTAGGTAAGAAAACATTGTTTGGTCTTCTTTATCATGATGAAAGGTAAGCAAAATAAAACAAGGCCTTAGAATACTATAATAATGTAGAATTGTCTCTCCTTAGCAATATCAACACTATTCATCGTTCCCTCCAGTTTATTAGAAAAAAATACTATTTTTTTTTTTTCCAGATATGAAGGCCAACCTTTGTATCTAGCCACTGTGTATATTAAGACCATTTGGTTAGCAGTTCTGATTATTATTTACTTAGGAGTTAAAAATACACTTGAAAAGAAAAAAGAAGAAAATTTAGGCTAGGGTTGAAAAAAAAAAAGTATTGCGACCTAACTAATTCCAACTCATAGCAACTTTATAGGACAGAGTAGAACTACACCGTTGGGTTTCCAAGGCTGAAAATCTTTATGAAAGCACACTGCTACTTCTCTATCTGGTAAAGCAGTTGGTAGGTTTGAATTACTTACTTTTCAGTTATCAGCTGAGTGCTTTAACTATGTCACCAGAGAACATTACAAAAGATGATAGTTACTATTATACTTACATAACTTTATTATGAGAGGTATTAATCCAAAAAAACGAAAGGTTCTGATACATACACCTTAAGGAAAAATTTAAAGCAAATATTCTATACATATTTTTGAAACTGAGGTAGGGTAGTCTATTTTAAAGAGTAGGGGAGGGTGCGGAGACTGAGTAACATAAGAAATTACCAGGAGAATAAATTAGCCCAAAATATATCGAAGAGCTCACTGTATACTAATAAATCATCAGCGTGTTCTTATAATTGGCAACTAACAAGACGACTCAGGACTATTCAGATGAATCACTTTTGAAATGAACAAGTATTGACTAGACTTTTACCTTAAAAAGGAGATGTGGTTAAGAGAAACTAGATAGCAAAAGCAAGCTTCATTTAATATAAATCAGGGTAGAATTCAAAAAGTTACACTTAAATAATGCTGGGTTGATACTAACTCTATAGGAAAATACTTCCGAAAACAGTTTTTCAAGTAAAACTAATGATTATTAAAGGAAATATCAAAAATAATTATTCTTATTGGAAGTGTTTTTTTTTTTTCCCCCCTTTATTTCTTTATTTTTTTTAAGGCACCAAAAGAAAATGGGAAGGGGGGATCTTTTTAAAAGGATACACAATCAGAAATTCCTAAAATTGGAAATCCACTCATGAAGCACATTGTTTACTAGATTCCAAAATGCTCAAGTAAGGGACTTCTTCTTCCTCATCTCCATCAAAAATTTATACTTAACTATAAACAATGTATAAAGAGGTATAAAAACAAGTATATATACAATAGCATGGTTTCTCCAAACAAAACTACATTAAAAAATTAGGCAAAAGAATTCATGATTCTTCTTTCCCTTCCCTCATTTTCTTCACATTGCCTTTTGTTTTGAAAGAAGATGGAGTGGACAATAAGAAGCAAATCAAACCAAACCCACTGCCATCAAGTTGATTCTGACTCAGAACCACCCCACTGGGTTTCTGAGGTGATAAATCTTTACAGAAGCAGATTGTTCCATCCTCTTTACATGGAGTGGCTGGTGGGTTTGAACCGTCAACCTGCTGGTTAGCAATCAAATGCCTTAGACACTGTAGCACTGTACAACCAGAGCTCCTAGAACAATAAGGGGCTCCCCCCAAACAAGACCTATATATATAACAGCTTAAACATTTCATGGACTACAGGGGATTCACTTCTACCTCCACCTTTATTTGAATAAAACCTTTGCCTGGTAGTTGTGAGGCAAAAAGAATTACTAAGCAATAGAGTGGTTCCACAGTCTCCTGAAGTGTTTTTGTTGTTAGGTGCCTTTGACTCGACTCTGACTCATAGCAATCCCATGCATGACTAAACGAAACACCACCTTGTCCTGCAGCAGTGTCACAATACTTTTTATACTTGAGCCCATCATTGTGGCAACTATGTCAATCCATCTCATTGAGGGCCTTTCTCTTTTTGGCTGACCCTCCACTTTACCAAGCGTGATACGCTTCTCCAGGGAAGGGTCCCTTTGGACAACATGACCAATGTAGGTGAGACAAAGTCTGGCCATTCTTGCTTCCAAGAATTCTAGCTGTAGCTCTTCCAGGACAGATTTGTTTTTTCTTCTGACAGTCTGTATTACTTTATGTTCTTACTTTCTGTATTCTTCAACAACACTACTCAAATGCATCAATTCTTCTTTGGTCTTCCTCATTCATTGTCCAGCTTTCACATGCATATGAGACAACTGAAAATGCCATGGCTTGGGTTAGGCACACGTTAGTCTTCAAAGAGACATCTTTGCTCTTCAGCACTTTAAAGAGGTCTTTTGCAGCAGATTTACCCAGTGCAATACAGCCTCTGATTTCTTGACTGCTGCTTCCATTGATGTTGATTGTGTAGCTAAGTAATTTGAAATCTTTGACAACTTCGATCTTTTCTCAATTTATCGTGATGCTGCTTAGTGGTCCATTTGTGAGGATTTTTGTTTTCTTTATGTTGAGGTATAATCCATACTGAAGACTGTCGTCTTTCATCTTCATCAGTAAGTGCTTCAAGTCCTCTTCACTCTCAGCAAGCAAGGTTGTGTCATCTGCATATCACAGATTGTTAATGACTCTTCCTTCAATGCTGATGCCATGTTCTTCCTCATATAGTCTAGCTTCTCAGATGATTTGCTCGGTATACAGATTGAGTAAGTATGGTGAAAGGCTACAACCCTGGCACAATCCCTTCCTGATTTTTAACCATGCAGTATCCCCTTGTTCTGTTCAAACAGCAGCCTCCTGGTCTATGTCCAGGTTCCTCATGAGCACAGTTAAGTGTTCTAGAGCTCTCATTCTTCTCAATGTTATCCATACTTTGTTATGATCCAAATGGTCGAATGCTTTTGCCTAGTTAATAAACACTGATATTCTTTGTTTTCAGTTAAAGATGCATCTGACATCAGCAATGATATCCCTTGTTCCATGTCCTCTTCTGAATCCAGCTTGCATTTCTGGAAGTTCCCTGTCAATATAATGCTGCAATAATTTTTTAATTATCTTCAGCAAAGTTTTGCTTGTATGTGATGTTAATGATATTGTTCAGTAATTTCCATATTCTGTTCAATAATCTTTCTTTGGAATGGGCACAAATATGGATCTTTTTCAGTCACTTGGCCAGGTAGCTAGCTGTCTTCCAAATTTCTTGGCTTGGACGAGTAAGTGCCTCTAGTGTGGCATCCATTTGTTGAAACATCTCAGTGGGTATTCCCTATTCCTGGAGCCCTATTTTTTGCCAATTCCTTTAGTGCAGCTTTGACTTCTTCCTTCAATACCATTGGTTCTTAATCATATGACACCTCCTGAAATAGATGAATTCTTTTTTGTACAGTGACTATGTATTCCGTCCACCTGTTTTTGATACTTTTTTTTGTACAGTGACTGTGCATTTCTTCCATCTTTTTTTGATGCTTCCTACATCATTCAATATTTTGTCCATAGTATCTTTCAATATTGCAACTCAAGGATTAATTTTTTTTCCTCACTTCTTTTAGCTTGAGAAATGCCACGTGTGTTCTTCTTTTTTGGTTTTCTAACTCCAGGTCTCTGAACATTTTATTATAATAATTGACTTTATCTTCTTGAGCTACTCTTTGAAATATTTTGTCCAGCTCTTTAATCTTGTCATTTCTTCCATGCTTTAGCTACTCTCCGTTCAAGAACAAGTTTCAGAGTCTCTTCTGACATCCATTTTAGTCTTTTCTTCCTTTCTGATCTTTTAAATTACTTTTTGCTTTATTCATGGATGATGTGCTTGATGTCCTCCCACAATTTCTCTGGTTTTCTGTCATTGGTGTTAATGCATCTAATGTATTATTCAGATGTCTCTAAATTCAGGAGGGATATAATTAAAGTTGTATTTTGGCTGTCATGGATTAGTTTTAATTGTCTTCAGCTTCAACTTGACCTTTCATGTGAGCAGTTGATGGTCAGTTCCACAGTCAGCTCCTGGCATTCTGGCTGAAGTCATTGAGATTCCCCATAACCTCTTTCCACAGATGTAGTTGATCTGATTTCTGTGCATTTCATCCAGCATAGTCCATGTGTATAACCATCATTTATGTTGCTGGAAAGGTATTTGCAATGAATACGTCATTGGTCTTACAAAATTCTACCATGCATTCTCTGGTATCATTGCTATCACCAAGGCCATATTTTCCAACTATTGGTAATTCTTCTTTATTTCCACCTTTTGCATTCCAATCACCAGTAATAATCTGTACATCTTGATTGCATATTGGGTCAATTTTAGACTGCAAAAGTTGGTAAAAATCTTCAATTTCCTTGTCTTGGGCTTTGGTCATTGGTGCACAAATTTAAATAATAGTAGTATTAACTGGTCTTCCTTGTAAGCATATGGATATTATCCTATCACTGACAGCATTGTACTTCAGGACAGATCTTGAAACATTTTTTATGATGATAAATGCCAAGCTATTCCTTTTCAATATGTCTTTCCCAGGATAGTAGATCATATGATTGTCTGTCTGATTCAAAATGGCCCAAACTGGTCCTTTTCAGCTCACTTATACCTAGGATATCAATCTTTATGTGTTCCCTTTCATTTTTGACAACATCCAATTTTCCATGTTCAAATTACTAATGGATGCTTGCAGCTGTTTCTTCCCATTTTGAGTTGTGCCACATCAGCAAATGGAGGTTCCCCAAAACTTTACTCCATCCAAGTCTTTAAGGTTGACTCTACTTTGAAGAGACAGCTTTTCCCCAGTCTTCTTTTGAGTGCCTTCTGACCTGAGGGGCTCATTTTCCCCCACTATATCAGACAGTGTTTCACTGCTATTCACAAAGTTTTCAGTGGTCAATACTTTAAGTGGATGGTCCACTCTTGCTTCTGAGTCTTTCTTACTCTGCTGAAACCTGTCTTCCATGGG